AATCCTATCACTGAAACTAATGGTGAAGTTGCAGAAGTTTCAGAGAATCCTAACCCTCCGAAAACTCGTTCTTAGGATCCAGAGCTTGAGTGATTATATTAATCTGATGGTTTCTTTTAATTAGTATTAATTTCTCTTCCTGTTTTTATAGTCTTTGGGAGGTGAACTGGTTTTCACCTTCAACTACGTGCGTTTGTCATTTGTTCTTGGAATTCTGTTAGGACAAAATTATTGATAAACTCGGTTGACTATTGCATTTTATGGTTATACATTCCTCTGTTTTCATTCTGTTTATTGCTTATTTGTTTGTCTTTATCTTGTTTTTTTACTTAAATACGCACGTTTCTTGGAATGATGGGAACGGTGGAAAGTTGTAATCTCTCATCCCTTTCCAGTGGATAATATGGGAAGATTAGATGTATGGAAAATACATAAGTTTGTAAAACGTGGATAATGTTCTAATATAATCACTATTTCAATTTAATCCTAACCTAATACACAAATTTTAGATACATCCACCCCTGAAAAGTAAACACTTGGGGTTTCTTAAAATCTAATGCATTTATATCTCTGATTTTGAATAGTATACTTATTACTATCCATTTGTACCCTTTTCTTTATTAGTTCTTCTCTGCTTGTGATAATTCGGGGACAAGTTTTAGTTCTTTAGAACTTGACTCCATATTTGTAATCCTTTCCTGCTTTTTCAGGGATACAGGTGAATGAAGGTTAAATTTATGATCCTAAATTTATACCCTAATGCAGATAGAGTGCTGCTAGTATCAACTTTCACTTTTTTCTGTACTTAACATTTTTAAGTTCTTTTTTTTTTTTCTTTAACATTTCTAAGATTGTCTTCTTATGGTTAAATCAGTATGATTTGAAATCGATCAGCCCAAATTTCAATCCCTAACTTTGTCTAAACCTAGGCACCGCAGGAAACTAGAGTTCCGTTTGAATGGTTGTTTTCTGAAGAGGTTTCTATAAAAGATTTCACTTTTCCAAGTAAATGTGTATGTGGGTTAAATGTGAAATTTTTCATAAATATGTTTATAAACACTACGGAACCTTGTTTGACAAGAAATTTGTGCATCCTAAATTGTACATTTATTGCATTTCTTACAAAATTTGATGCACTGTCAAAGAAGAACTTTGTGTATGCATAAACTTTATACTTCTTTTGTCACACTTTGATAGATTTGATTTTTTTTTTTTTTTTGCATGAAGCTTAAGAAAAGTTAGTTAATTTTGTTGAAAAAATAAACCTAGTTTACTATTTTTCTAAGACATCCTTACATTAAATGGAGCATGACTAATTAGCTTTACACTAAATAAGTTAGATTATACTGAGTAACAAACTACATTAAACAATGGCATTTTACATAAATTGTAAGTTAACTACATTTCTCAATTGGAAAGTGGATTATAATTTGGGATAGAAGAAAAAGAAAACAAGCCTATCAAAATGGAATGAATGGAGTAGTAGAGGTGACAATTTCCGACAACCCCTGAAAACACGACACGAATCTAACATGAAATTAATAGGTTTGGGTTGAGGTTTCGCGGGTTTGGGTCAAAATCGGGTCGAACCCGATGGATCCGAAAAGAAAACAGGTCAAATTTGGGTCAACATGTGGGTGACCTAATATAACTCGATAACCCGTTTACGAATTAAAAATAATTTAATAAACATAAAAATTATTTTATCTAACTAAACTAAATTATTCTTTTTTCCAAAGGCATTAATCACTTAATCCTAAATGAATTTATTTAACTTGTGTGAAGTTGAAAGTATTATATTTGGACAAATAATGTATTATATTATGTTTTACTTTTATACTGTTTTAATTTATTTTATATTTGGTTTGGAATAAAACACTTTTATGGTGTTTTAATTTATTATAGATTTGGTTTGAAATTATTTATTTAAATTTTTATTATTGGATTATGTGATTAGTCTTGTACGAAATTGGTTTTATTAGAAATTACAGTGGTAAATTAATAAATTAAAATTAAGTTTCGAGTCGACCCGTCAACCCGAAATTTTCAAGTTCGTGTCAAGTATTCTGACCTGTTTCGGGTTGGCGGGTCAAGTTCGGGTCAGCGGATTTTCTGTTACACCCGAGTCTCAACCCGACCCGCCAACCGGAAGCGAACCCAATTGCCACCCCCGAGTAGATGCATACCAATTTAATGTATAAATATAACGTGATTTGTAATTATATGCCCAAAAACAAGTAATACATAACTGACCAACCTTATTGTAACTGACCAACCTAATTGTACCTCCTTAATGCCCTCCCTCACCCTCCCCAGTACTAACGTCTTAAAATTGTTATTTTAAAGAAATGCTCTTAATTGTCAGTTGTTCTTTTAAAAGTTATATCCACAAGAAGATGGGAAACCCTTACATATAAGGTACACTCTTGGGCAAATAAACATAGCATACTGTTACAATTTTTTTTTTCTTTTTTCATCGTACAAAAGATAAGGCAGCAAGTAGAAAAAATCTCCAATCCTGCTCAGAAATTCCATTTCTAATCCTTCACCAAATTCTTTCAGAAAGTATAGATACATTTTATAAGGTCCCATTTCTTGATTTCCCTGCCCTGGATGTAGCTTCTTCATGACTCAATTTACCGAAGACTAATTTGTGATTAAAAGAAAAAAGAGAAGAGAGAGAGAGGGATGTGAAATAATCTGATTTTTTTATCAGATCAAATATTCTAGGCACTGCACTAAGCAATTTGTTGTACATATATCGTATCTTATTTATTTATGTTAACCTGGCATTCCAGGAATTTTCACATTAGAGAATATGGCCTTTCCGCAAGAATGAGATGAGGAACCTGGATGCTCCATGCGCTCAATTCTCAATTGGTCCAAATAGTTATATGAATTAATCTTTTCTACATTGTTAGTGTATATATACACTATCAGTGTCTGGATTTAGATATCTGTGTCGCATTATCTCAATTTAAATTGAAATATTAAATTTTGTATGTATAGCATACGTCTAAACTGCAAGTGTATATACTAATAGCATATAAAAGATTTGTCCTAATTATTTTTGCCTAAATAAGTGCATCCTGTAATTTGACATAACATTAAGGCATTTGCATCGTCAGTTGCTTGAATAGTTACATTTGCCTAAGTAAGTGCATCTTGTAGTTTAACACAATTTTAAGGCATTTTGGATTATAATCAACAATTTCTTTGGAATCCCATCTTTGAACGAAAACAAGGTCTGTTAAATTCGTTCTGCAGTCTGGACATATTTGTAAATCAAACCCATGATGGCTTCTGATATCTAAGTATTTTCGGCGATATATTTGATATTCCAGGAAGATACGAATGTAACTTGAATCCAAGGAGAATTTGTATCCATCATTAATTCTTCCTTCATTCTTGGGTAATAATCCCTCTCAGCCGCGTTGACTTGACCAAGTAGGCTCGTATTTGAAGAATTCTGGTCAACCTAATCATTTTGCTTGTTAAAATTTGATAATTGGCTTAAATTGACCAGGGATGGATTGGGGGCTGCTGTCCCCCATTTTTGTCATATTGCCTATGTATAATGGTTCAAGTTGCTGCCATAGGGTCTGAGGGTGCTCACCTCGGCCACCCCTCTGTTGCCGAGGTTAACCCCGTTCGCCCCTCATCAAGCACGGTCAGGTCCCGCACACGACCCATGAGTTCGGCCAGATCTTTGGTCGAACCATTTGGGTGACCTCCAGACTCCCACCTCGGCTGCACGCTGATGATGTCAGCACCTCTGACACCGCCCAGAGCCAGTGCTTTATCTGAAAAGTACCGGATGTTTTTAATGGCTACTACGTAAGACTCCCCGTCACCCTGCCTAGGCGGCTACAGTGTCAGAGTCAGACCTCCTTACAGGGAACAGAGCCGTAATGCCAGGATATGGGTCCCACCAGCATGAGCCCCCGTCCTACCTTTCACTTCCACTCTATAAATACTCTCCATGCACTCCCAACAAGTAAGCACACTGTTCATTCTCATATACTATTATTTCTCTCGTTCTCTTACTAACTTGATCGTCGGAGTGATCCCAGGGGAGAAGCCCCGCCATCCACTTCGAACAAGTGAATTCACCTCACCTCATTTTAGAGAGAACTGATTTAGGTCGGACCAACAACCCACCAAAAATCACCTCTTCAATTGGCGCCGTCTGTGGGAATGAGATTACTGCTAAAATGAGATCCACGCGCTCTAGAAGCGGGAGAGTCCCCTCGACCTGGGTTGGGCAAACCTCGTGAGCCCAGCAAGGTCGCATTTCTGAAGAACAAGAGTCCCCAAGGACCCAACCCAATAACGAAGACGCCATGGCCAAGATGGCCGAGTTCGTAGCCGACAATCCTAACATTTTCGAGGAACTAGGGAGATACTTCAAGAGGCAGGGGAAGGAAAAAACCGAATCCTCTAAGAGGAGATCGGCGAAGTCCCCTGAGGTACTTTCCGGGGAGGACTCCGACGAGGGGCACTTCTCTCGGAGTACTTCCAGGCGCGCCTCTTCCAAGGCGACCTCTAAAATTGCCTCTTTTTCCCGAGCATTTTCCCGGGGTCTACTAGGAAAACGAGTTGAGGGCCCACCTCGGCGTCCTGGAGGCTTAGCAGTCGACTATATGAGGGTTCCGCCCTTTATCGACGACATCAATGGGGAAATGGTGCAACCAAATTTTAAATTCCCAACCTTGCAATCTTATGATGGCCGAGATGATCCCGATGATCACCTCCGCGCCTTCATGTCTGCATTTCGACTCTATTGCGTCCCCGACGCCGTGATTTGCCGAGCTTTCCCCATTTTCCTGCAAGGGACAGCCCGAAAATGATTTTGGGGCATAGAACCGAGGACCATTTTTTCGCTGGACGAGTTGATAGACCGGTTCATCCACCGCTTCGTATCGTCTCGCCCAATTACGAAGATTTCAGCTTACCTCTTGAACCTGCAGCAGGGTCCCGGCGAGTCACTGCGCTCGTATATGCAGAGGTTCAATGAGGAAAATGTGCAGATACCTGATCAGAATGAGCAGGTAACCATAGCTGCCTTCACCAACGGGTTGATTGCGGGGATCTTCCATACTGAGATACATCGGGATTACCCCCGCACACTTCGGGAACTCTGGGAACGAGTAGACCAAAGAATCCGAAGTGAGGACCTAAACCGCATGAAGCGAGAAGCTCAAGCTGCTCGTACTGGGCAAGAGTCCCGGAGGAAAAAAAACACCGGCCGAAATGAACAAGACCCAAGTGGCTCATCGAACCAATTCCGAGACCGCCGGAGTGTCTTCAATCGGATCGTAAAAGGCAGGTCGTCCACCTCGGACGCCGAACTGACACCGCTCAATTCCAGCAGGTCTCACGTCTTGGCGGTGATGAGGCAAAATCACTTCAGCCGAATCTCTCCTGAGATCCCGGGGAGGAGAGATAAGAGGAACTCCAACCTTTATTGTGCCTACCACCGAGATGTCGGACACGAGACCGAAGACTGCAACGATTTGATGCGAGAAATCGAGAACTTAATCCGCCAAGGATACTTGAAGCAATTCGTCCGCAAGGATGGAGCCCTCAACCGAAGCGCCTCCCACCGGGAGAGCCGGGACCCTGGCCGAGAAGACAGGCGAGACACCAAGATTCATTGCTGAGGTCCCGAAAACCGCAGGCAGGACCAGCGCCCACCGCGTGACGGATCACCGAGCTATGGCCCTAACATCGCCAGGGTGATCAACACAATCGCGGGTGGCCCAACGGGAGGAGACAGTCAGAACTCCCGGAAACGGACATACCGCCAGGCCGGCATGGAGACGGCTGAGCCGAGCTCCCGGTTTTCCGAGGTGATTACCTACGGTCCCAGCGACCCTGTCCCTGCTGCCTCCAGCAATCATGAAACTCTAGTGATCGAAGTTCTCACCTATAATTAAATAGTCAAAAAGGTCTATGTTGACTCCGGAAGCTCGATAGACGTCTTGTACTACCGAACTTTCGAAAGTTTGAAACTGACCAGAAAGCAACTCAGTTCTGTCAGAACTACTCTTGTCGGCTTCGGGGGACACGTCGTCCACCGGGAGGGCATGGTGACCCTGATGGTGACTATCGGGCGTCATCCCCGCTGCCGAACTGTGCCTGTCAGCTTTGCGGTGGTCAGAACAGACTCTTCTTACAACATGCTGATAGCCCGACCCACGCTTAACGCTTTGAGAGCTGTCTATTCTACCTACCACCTGAGTTTCAAATTTCCAACCACTGCGGGGGTGGCTGAGATGAGCAACGACGTGAACGCTGTCCGGGAATGCTACCTCGCCACCATCCAGGCAGCAGTCACTCCCCGGACCGCATCAAGAGCTGAAGAAAAGAGGCCAGCGGTCCTCTCCATAGACAGTATCGATCCTTAGAAGGCCGGAGAGCCCAGCAGGCTTGAGCCCGGGGATGAGGTTGAGCAAGTGGTCTTGGATGAGGCGAGACCTGACCAAGTGATCCAAGTGGGGGCCGGACTCCCCTCTCCCCTAAAGGAAGAAATGATCTACTTGATAAAGGACCATCGAGACGTCTTCGCGTGGTCCGCTGATGAAGTGGTCGGAGTGCCACCCGAACTCATGATCCATCAGCTCAACGTTAATCCACAGGCCCGCCCTGTGAGGCAGAAACGAAGGCACTTCGGTTCCGAACGTAGCAAAGCCATATCCGATGAGGTCGACAAGATTTTGCCCGCCAAGATGATCCATGAGATCCAATACCTCACCTGGCTGTCCAATCCAGTCATGGTCAAAAAGGACATCGGAGGATGGAGAATGTGTGTGGATTTCATCGACCTCAACAAGGCCTGTCCCAAAGATTGCTACCCTTTGTCGAGAATAGATGCTCTCGTCGACTCGGCAATAGGACACGAGGTCCTCTGCTTCCTAGATGCCTTCAAAGGGTATCATCAAATAGGAATGAGTAAAGAGAACCAAGAGAAGACGGCGTTCTACACCGACCAAGGTGTCTATTCCTACACTACCATGCCATTCGGGTTAAAAAACGCCGGGGCAACCTATCAAAGGCTGATTAACCGACTCTTCAAAAATCAGATCGGCCGCAATGTGGAGGCCTATGTGAACGACATTCTAGTCAAAAGTTTAACCACTTCGGCCTTTCTGTCGGATTTGAGGGAGGTTTTCGGCGTCCTGCGGGACTCAAGGATGAAACTAAATCCCAAGAATTGTGTTTTCGGCGTCATCTCAGGAAAGTTCTTGGGGTATCTGGTTTCTCGCCGGGGAATCGAAACCAACCCCGACAAGGTCAAGGCCATTCAGGACATGTCCCCACCTCGGAACCTCCGAGAAGTTCAGAGGCTAAATGGACGCCTGGCCGCGCTGAACCGCTTCCTGTCTCAATCTGCTGAGAAAACTCTGCCCTTTTTTAAGGTGCTGAAAAAGACTGATCAGTTTGCCTGGAATGAAGAGTGTCAGGCTGCCTTCGACAAGCTGAAACAGTACCTGCACCACCTACCCACTCTCGCTTCACCTCGGCCCGAGGAGAAGCTGTACCTCTACCTATCCGCAGCCAACGAGGCTGTCAGTGCTGTGCTCATCCGAGATGAGGGTACTCAAGTGCCGGTGTACTATGTCAGCCGAGCCCTCCGTGGGCCGGAGACTCGGTACATCCAGGTGAAAAAACTCGTACTGGAACTAGTCCACGCAGCTCGGTGGCTGAAGCCCTATTTCCTAGCTCATCCCATCTCCGTTATGACAGACCAGCCTATCCGGCAGATATTGGTGCGTCCCGAGACTTCCGGGTGCCTCACCAAGTGGGCTGTTGAATTGGAAGAGTATAATCTGTTATATGAGTCACGCACTGCCATAAAAACTCAAGTTTTAACCGACTTCCTTGCCGAGCTCACCTTCATGGAAGGTTGAGAATCCACCTCCGCCATTGTCGAGGTGTCCACCCCACACCTGTGGACGTTGTATGTGGACGGATCCTCTAATCGGGATGGCAGCGGAGCAGGACTACTCCTGGAGGACCCCCATGGGGAAGGGTGCTCGTATGCCCTCCGCTTTGATTTTTCGGCCACCAATAATGAAGCCGAGTACGAGGCCTTGATCGCTGGACTCCAGCTAGCCCCGCAGATTCGGTGCCCAGCGGATCCATGTCCGCAGTGACTCCCAACTTGTAGTATGCCAAGTTTTTGGTGAATATGAGGCCAAGGATAAGACCATGCAACGGTATCTCACCAAAGTTCGCCAACTCACCGTGTACTTCAAGTCCTTCGAAATCCAAAGAATATCCCGTTCCCAGAATAGGCGGGCCGACACCTTATCCCGGCTGACTTCCACATCATTCTCTGACCTCAACAAGACCGTCCTGGTGGAAGTGCTGAACGAGCCGGGATACATGGAAGAGGTGGCCTGCCCCGTTCACCCTGGAGATACGTGGATGAGCCCGTTCATCCTTTTCTTAGGTCAGGGAATCCTTCCCGAGGACCGAGCCAAGGCAAGAAAAATACAACGCAAAACGGCTCGGTACGCTCTCTGCGATGGAGAGATGTATAAACGCTTTTACCTCGGCCCGTGGCTGGGGTGCGTTACGCCCGAGGCAGGACGCCAGATCCTCCACGAGATCCACGAGAGCCTATGTGGGGCTCACGTCGGCCACAATATGTTAGCTAAGAAGACTTTGCTTCTTGGGTATTTCTGGCCCTCCATTCGACAAGACGCCCAAGATCTTGTTTTCGGCTGCCCTTCCTGCCAAGTCCACGCCTCTGAGCACCACCAGCCCTCAAAGTTCATGGTTCCCATCACCTTACCCTGGCCGTTTGAGCAATGGGGGACAGACATCATCGGTCCTTTCCCTAAAGCTGTCGGGGGTTATACATTTCTTGTAACTGCAGTGGATTACTTCACTAAATGGGTCGAGGCCGAACCTCTAAGGACCATCACAGGGTTTGCGGTTCAAAAGTTCTTTTGGAAATGCATTGTTTATCGCTTCGGCATACCTCAGGTCATCATCTCAGATAATGGGAGACAGCTTGTCGAGAACCCATTTAGGATTTGGTGCGAGAATCTCGGTATCAAGCAACACTTCACTTCCGTAGGCTACCCCCAGGCTAACGGTCAAGTGGAGAATTTCAACCGAACTCTCTTGCATGGTTTCATGACCCGATTACACCGAGCTAGATCATCGTGGGTGAAAAAACTGCCCAGTGTCCTGTGGTCATATCGGACCACGCCAAGGTCAGCCACGTAAGAGACCCCTTTCTCCTTGACCTACGGAACCGAGGCTGTCATCCCTGCCGAGATCCTTACACCCAGTCCCCGGCTGACAGATTATGTAGCCGAGGTGAACGAAGAAAAGAGGCAGTTGGACCTCGACCTCGTCGACGAAAGAAGGGATATTGCCTCAGCTCGGGTAGCTTCCTACAAGAACACCCTAGCCCAATATTACAATGCCCGCGTCAAACAGCGTCGATTCCAGCCAGGAGACTTGGTGCTCAGGAAAAACTCAGTCAGCCGAGCTGAACCACAAGGGAAATTGTGCCCAAAATGGGAGGGCCCTTACCGAATTGTGGAATCTAATCTTAGTAGATATTGTAAACTGAGCTATCGAGATGGCTCACTAGTGCCGAGGACTTGGCACGCCGAGACCCTCAAATTGTATTATGTTTGAGCATTTCATCAAATTATGACTTCAGATGTTTCGTTATTTTTCAACACTACGATGCCACACATCCGTTATTAAAAAATAAGGGGGACAAGCAAGGGACGAAACAAGAAATTAAAAGTGTCGAGATGAGAAGAAATAGACATTTCATTTAATGAAAAGAGGCAATACAAAAAGAATACAAGACCGAGATTGGGAATGCTACTAAGCACCTCCCACCTCGGCGTCCTACCTAAACACCTACGAGCCTAGACCCCCGTCTCGGCTCCCTCCTACGCAGCTTTCTCGCCGGTCTCTTCCCCGCCTGGGTGAAACTCTCCTCCTCCTTCGTGCTCTTTGCCAATTTTCTCGCCGACGTCTCCACCAGCTTCTTCCCCTCCGTCTTCCTCAAACACTTCGTTGAGCTCGGATAGCCATTTGTTGAACTCGTCCCGGACTTCGGCCAAGTTCCTTCCAGCTTGGAAGCCCTCGGCCATCGGATCGCACAACTCTTTGGAGTCCTCATTGTAGTTGGCATTGTTTTTCAGAGACTCCAAGGCCTCGTAGGAAAGGTGAGCTGCGGCCTCGTCTACAGCAGACGTGTAACCGAACATAAAACTCGGCATGATCAGCTGTCCAAGATCTCTGGTGAAGGTCTCAGACCTTCGGAAAGCCTCCACCGTCGAGGCTCCAGCACCCTCAAGGGCTTGTTCATGGGACTTCTTCAACTCGTCCCCCCTCTTCTGCTCTTCCTTGAGAGCCGACTTGAGGCTATTGATGGTAGTCTCGGCCTCCTCCTCCTTCGTCTCGGCATATTGAAGCCGTCGTTGAAATTTCGCCTTCTCGGACTCGGACACCACCAGTTTTTTCTCCAATTTGGAGATCTGATTTTGCAACTTGCCGGTGTCCTGTTTCTTGAGTAGGGCACAGTATCGGTGTGCCATCTCGGCTACAAAGGCTGTATTGGAGGGCCGTGGTCACCATTACGCTTTGAATCACCTCGGCCGGAGTCAGCTTCTTCGTAAACTCCACGTCCTTCGGCAAACTTGACTGCATCACCAACTCTTGTGCTATCCGAGGATGGGTGCACCTATCATTGACCAAAAGTCTCCAGTTCGGACACCAATGCTCACCGGGGTGCATCTTGTCCTCCCCAGAAAATACCGGAGGGCTATGGAAACGATTCCATAGTGAGGACCCCGTGACCGCATTGACCGGGACCTTCAACTGTTTGTCTCGGCCATGAGAAGGCGGAAGCGCCGTAGTGACCCCAATGGGCACCCCTTCTGGCACAGAAGAGGTG